CTACTATTCGGCCGGAACCATCAGTGAAGAGGGCATATAATCTTTCACTCTCTGGTAGCTCATTAAATGGTGGGGCTTCCTTGACACATGTCACTTGCTCCTCTTGTTCTCCAGAAGATAATCCAAAAGTCTCCCCTTCAGGCCAGTTTGTTATGATTTCCAGAATCCCAGGGCGATTAGGATGCCTTACCCGGGCTTGCTGTGTGATCAGAGCTATCCACTTGCTCCATGTGGCGTTGGTGGCATGATGCATGGATGGAACTTTTCCCTTGAACATCCAACCCAGCATAGGTAGTTGGGGTGCCAGAAGCAGCTGTGCTTTGGTTCCAATTACTTCTGAGGCAGCTCGAACCCCTTCATAAGTCACAAGTCTCCTTCTCAGTTGGAGTATGGCTGGCCTCAGATCCTTTGTATCCCCAACTACAGGACCTGAGCAGTCGTCCTCATGTCTCTCTAGATCCCTTCTGCCACTGGCTACAGGAAGGACGATTCTCCCTGGCTGCAGTATAAAGCATATTTTTCAAATCCTGCCCCATTTTGTTCAAGGGTCCACTGGATATCACTTTTCTTTCTTGTGTCATGAGATAAAGAGTGCTTACAGTTGTGCTGTACTTTGGGATATGCATCCTCCCAAAGCCCACACCTCCTAGAAAAGTCTGGGTTTCCTTCTTGTTGGTAGGTGGGGACATAGCCGTGATTTTGGTAATTACCTCCATCGGGATCTGGCAATGACCATCTTACTACTTGACTCCTAGAAACTGAATTTCATAAGTAGGTCCCTAAACCTTACTTCACTTAATGGCAAAACCAGGTTCCAGGAGAATCTGGATAATCTTCTCTCCTTTCTCAAAGACTTCCCCTGCTGTGTTCCCCCATACAATGATGTCATCAATGTCCTGCAGATGTTCTGGAGCCTCACCCTTTTCCACTGCAGCCTGGATCATTTCATGGCAGATGGTGGGACTGTGCTTCCCTGCCTGGGGCAGCCAGTTCCAGGTGTATTGCACACCCCTCCAGGTGAAGGCAAACTGGGGCCTGCACTCTGCTGCCAAAGGAATGGGGGAAAATGCATTGGCAATATCAATGGTTGCATACCACTTGTCTGCCTTGGACTCCAACTCATACTGAAGCTCCAGCATGTCAGGCACAGCATCACTCGGTGGTGTGACTTCATTCAGATCACGGTAATCTACCATCAGTCTCCATTCTCCACTGGACTTACGCACTGGCCACATAAGGCTGTTAAAGGGTGAACAAGCCTTGCTGACCACCACTTGAATCTCCAGTTCATGAATCATCTTATGGATGGGAATCACAGTCTCGGTTGATGCGGTATTGCCGACGGTGCACTGTTGCTATTGGTACCTGTTGTTCTTCAGCCCTCAGCAGTCCCACAGCCAAGGGGTCAACTGAGAGACCAGGCAGGGTATTCAGTTGTCTGATGTCTTCTGTTTCTAGAGCAGCTATCCGAAAAGCTCAGCTATGTCCTTTTGTGTCTTTGAAATACCCATTTCTGAGATAGTCTATGCTGAGGATGCATGGGGCCTCTGGGCCAGTCACAATGGGTTGTTTCTGTCACTCCTTCCCAGTCAAACTCAATTCAGCTTCCAGTACTGTCAGCTCCTGGGATCTCCCTGTCATCCCAGAAATAGAAATGTATTCCGGTCCCACATACTTTGATGGCATCAGGGTACACTGAGCACCAGTGTCAAAAAAAGCCATATATTTTTGTGGGTCAGAAGTGCCAGGCCATCGAAAAAAAGCCCAGGGAGTTTCCAAGGATCAGGGTGTATGGTTTTGGGGCTTGTTTTATTTTTTTGTAAATCAGGGGTAGACTTTCTGAAGACAATACACTTCCAGACAGCACAAGCAACTAGCTATGTCTACCTAGTTGCCAATTTAATATGGTGAAATGCCTCAAAAAACCATAACAATTTAACCAGCAGGAGCACAGTCCTGGAGGCTTCACTTGCCATCTCTTTGATGAATGTGTTGCACAGTGCCATTTTAGAGAGCCTTCATTACAGCTAACAATTAAATCAAATCAAAGCAGCTGATTCTCAAACTAAATTTTGTCATAATTTTGAAAAACAATGGTGCCTGGGAAATAACTGGAATGTTTTGCAATATACATTTATTTAAATGGTAGTTTCCCTCTGATTGAGACAGTGTTCCTTGACACTAAGACATACAAAAGGATTCTTTTCTTCTATTAAAAAAAAATCAGAAAGCACCTGAAAGCATTTTCTGTCTGGCTTAAATAATAATATATAATGTCCTCACTTGAGCTTTTCATTATTAAAAAAACCCCAAACTAACCCATATGAGTTTTTTATTTCTAATAAAACCTTATCAAGTCCAAATTCAATTAATTTCAAAGGGTTTGAACAAATTTGCATTTTTTTTGTATTAGCTCACTTATAAAGTTGATGCTGCCATTGGCATGACAAATGATTCTTGTGAGAATCATCATGAGAAGTAACCTTTGAAATGTGAATATTAATTCCAGCTAGTGGTACTTAACAGGACAGTAAACTAAAACAGGGCACCCATATTGCATACATGAAGTAAATATAAAAATGCAAAGCATGTAAAAATTTTTGTAAGCTCTATTCTACACCATCAAAAATTACACCTGGGTAGTTTCAAAATATATCTTCAGTCACTGTTAATGCATAGCAAACATAGTTACTATACTGGCATACCAGAAAACATATTTACATGTCCAAACTGAGAGGGAAGACCTCATTAAAATAAAAAAAAACCAACCAAAAACAACAGCAAACACCAGTACTCCTGTCTGGACTTTGTCACAATTCTTTTTCCCAAAAATATTGATAGATAATTCCAAGGCACAAACAGTAAGTTTAACTTGTTACAGGACACTAATGTGTAGCATTTTTGATACTTCTTCAACATGCACAGAGTTTTCTTACAAAGCACCAAATCTTGTAAAACATGCAATAGATGCACTGGTCACAACTGAAGTATAAAAATAAATACAATCACTCAGCTTAAAAAGTATTCATTTTTTCTCATTTGTAAATGTAAATTATTTTTTCCAGATATGCTTAATAGTATTATTCTTTTACAAAAAACATGAGAAGTTTTGAACAATTACATCTCTGTTCATTCTTTATTATTTGCATGACATATCCGACATCTTAGTGTTCCCCAATCTTTGATCAAGAGCCCTTAAACTCTATTTAAACTGATTTAGACCATACTTAAAAAAAGTAAATCTAGTATTTCTAACTTAGAGAAGTTTATTAAATATTTAAGTTACTTTCCATAATCTCAGTACATAATGAGTTTTATTGAGTGTCCCATGTACAGTCATTTCTGATAGGTGAGTGTTGGTGATGAAATCAAATGCAAAGAAAAAATCTTAATGTGAAAAATCAAGATGTCAGAGATGAAAGCACGATAGTGTTGTAGTTTTTGAGTTCCACAGGGGGTGTTTTTTTCTCTTCCCCTTCCTTTTCCCTCATGTGAGCTCCCTTTATTATTGTCCACTACAGATAAACAACCATGCTCTAATTGGACCCTAGAATCTCTGCTAATTTTGTAACACAAAACATGTCTCAAGCATGCCATTCATGTGACTGTCTTCAGCCAAAGTAAGTCACACACACATACAGCTGTTTTCCATTGAAGTGATTTCTCACAGCACACTCAGCAAACACACAGATTAGCAGAGCCTTTAGGGTCAACATTCTTTTGTTCTAATCTTGATTTAAGATGCCAGGTGTTTGGTACTGTTCCCACAGGTGAGATATGCCCATCCTTTCTTGTTGCAGTGTGAGGCCATCTCAGGTGTGCCAACCTTTCCCCTCCCCCTTTTGCCCTCCTGCTAAGAGCTGTCCATCAATCTTAACATTCCAGCAAGGGCATCGTGTGGTTGGCAGAATTTCAAAAGATGCCCCTCAGGTCCGGGCTCAATGGCCTGTCCAAGCGTGTATATCCCTTGAGCCTTCCCCTCCTCCCACCTGGTTGGCCCTTACCTGTCCCTTCCCCTCCCCCTGTTCCCGGGGCTTAAAAGCAGACGAGACCATGCGGCCGGGATTTCTATTGTGAGCTGTTACAACATTCAGAGGTCTACCATTCTGAAATAAAACTCTGGATTAAGACTCTACAATAGAATCCGCTCCTTTCTCTCTTCACCGTCGCCTGAACCTGTTCCACCGGAGGTAAACTGAGTTCCTACTATGCCTGGATTTGTTCCAAGTGCCTAGCTGCAGCATCCAGCCGGCCAAAGGTATCTCTGAGGTAAAACACCACAGCTGCCGCCTTTGGTCCAGCAGCGAGGGCTAGATGAAGCCAGGCACGTCCTACCCGGAAATATATGGGATTAATATTCCATACTTTCTCATTATTTGTATCATTATAAGATCTAGTTTTCTTAAAAAACAGAGTACAATATTCCTAATGCAATGATTTAAAATTCAGTCTGAAGCAGAACTACACGTCTCTCATTTTTCAAAAAGAAGTTGAAAATGTTTTAAACTCTCAAAGAACTGTTTAATTTGAGGCTGCTTTAAATTTTATAATTCATAAGTGTTCTAAGAGTCCCTTTTCTTCCAACAACTAATCCATGAAAGGCTGGCATCCAGTCCTATAATTAATTTAAAGAAAATGCATGCAAAAATAATTAAATTTGAATATTCTAAGAAGCAATCAAGTTTACTAAGCTCTCAAACATTGAAATAATGCTTCCTGTTAAAGGGACACCTGCACTAACCAGTGTTTAAGGGCTTGCATTCAGCTGATTAAACTACAAATCAATGCCCACCAAAATGTTACTTAAAGACATTTCCTCTTTTTTTTTTTTCAAAAACAAAGATTATAATGTAAATCTGAAAGCAAAACTTTATTTGTTTTTAAATTATGTAATTTAATCTTTAACTTTGCTAGTTGGAAGCCATGACACAGGAGAAGGTCCCTTTAACAAGGAAGGAGATAAGTATCACTTAATCAGGATGTGGGAATGGAATCTGTACCTATGAGTAAATGGCAATGCGCTCTGGATTGGCTCAGCCCTTGATTCTGAGTTCTGCGTCACTTCCGCCATCACTCTCTCGTCATCTGTCCCATTAATACTTTCTGGCGTTAAAGGAAACTGAATATCCCCTCCAGCTGATTCCTTAAGTAAAACAAACAAATGACATATTAGAATTACTGAGTGACCTGCTCAGGAAGGCTGTGTGTATATAAGCACTATCATTAATTTAATTCTTATATGAGATATGAACTTTAGACAGTATTAATGTGAGGCTCACAGATTTCCTGCATCACTCATGGCCATATTTCATCATGTGAATTTAATTTAGAAGTGTATTACTATAGGATTCAAATTATCTTGCACAAAACACAACTGACCTATGATTTATTTGCAAGTGTCCAGCCTCACGCTTATCACAGACCTCACTCTCTTACCTGATATTTTATGCAGCCCTCAGCCAGCTACATAACAGGCAACTATTGACGCCAAGGATTCTTATCTCTTGTTTTACATTCTAACATGGTGAAAAAAACAATTCTGATATTTGTTTCAAAATCTAGCTTTCATTCTATGTATTAACGAAAGTGAACAGGTGCATTCACAGTTTTGCCTATAAGCCATCTGTAAAGAAAACTTCTTCAGCACAATCCACGCAAAACTTTCATAGATGTTAGCCTGGCCTAGCTCTTGCTGGTCATGCTATCATCTGGGAAGGAGAATACTCCAGTTATATCCAGGCAGCTATACCTGAAAAACTTAGTGGCTTTCTTCCTAGCAGAAGGCACTGGTAAAGTTTTAACCAGCCCTCGTTATGTCAACACATACATTTATGTTTTGGCCAACAAACACTATTTTTCAATTTCTAGTCACTGAAAAGTGCTTCTTTTAAAAAAAAAACCAAAAAAACAAAGTACATTGTGTAGCCCAAATCCTAAGTTGGAACATTTTAGGTTTTTCAGTCCCTGTATGTGGTTTAATTTTAATATTTTCTTTCCTATTGTAATAAGTAGCAATACGTTTGTTCATTAATTAAATCAATAGCTAAATAATTATACAATATAAAAGCAATAACTAAATAGCTAAAACCGCTTGATTCTTAAATGTGCAGCCACATATGGTTGCTTGGCTTGCAGGAATCGTATAGTGCTTTGGGAATTCCATGGTAAAGATATACCTTATAAGGAAAAGTTCACCCAGAGGTCACAGAGGAAGGCTGTAACAACAATCCCTAAACTCGCAAGAATTGCTTGGGCTTGCAGGAATCGTATAGTGTTCTGAAAATTCCACTGTATAGATATGCCTTATAAGGGAAAGTTCACTCAGCAGTTAAAAGAGGAAGACTTGCAGCCTTCATCCCACGACCACTAGAAGGCAGAAAAAGACCCCCTAGCAACTGAACGAGCAAGCGCAAAAGACAGACCACGTCATCCCTGGACCCGGGAGAAGAAGGCAATAAAAGGTGAACTTTGGGGATAGGAACGGTGCGAGCCTAGAGGAGCGGAGATTCCCGGCCGCCCAGCGCTGAACTTTGCTTATTCTTGCTTGCATAATAATAATAATAATAAAAAAATAATTGTATGATCCTTAAATCCAGTGAATTCGTTTATCACACTATTATATTACGTCATATAAGCTAAGTAGCTCATTTCAATTTCAAAATGTCTTAGTAGGCTTTTAGTAACCAAGTGTTAACATTTAACTCTAAGATAGAGTTTCATGAATAGAGTTCAGTGGATGTCATGGAGGGGTGACTATCCAGCAGAGGACTGGTTGAATTACAGTATTTCCAAAAGGTAAGCACCTTCTATGGCCACAGAGATTTTACCATCTGCATGGAGAAGAGATAAAACTACTATTAACTGTGTTAAACTGGTGTCATAGTTTGACACGGGAAGAATTTCGGAAAGTGAGGCAAAAGCTTTTTGTGTAACAGACAGTCTGTTAAAACACTAAATACTGGACATGCCTCTGTGAAAAACACATGTTAAAGACAAAAAAACACCCTCAAAAACTTCCTCTTTCTTTTCTAGTCGGCAAAAAGGTAACAAACCCCGGCCCCCGTCTCGGCCAGGCCAGCCCGGGCAGCCCTGCCACGGGCTGGGCCCCTTCTCCCGGGCTGCCCGCTGGCCCCCCATCAACTCCGTTCTGGCCGGGCCGGGCCGGACCCCCAGCAGTAGCCAGGCAGGAAGGGGGGGGAGGCTGCGGAGCCCTGGCCGGAGCAGGGCTGGCCGAGGCTGTTAAGATCTTACCGTCAGGTCCCCTTCCCCCAGCGCGGTTGAGACCAGAAACAGCCCTGAAGCTGTGCAAAGTGGCCCTGCGGCTAGAAGTAAATGCAGAAAAAAACAAAGACCAACCATGAAACCAATCCTAACACAACTCAGCCGCAGCTCCCACTTCAAGTTACCTGCAGGTCAAGGGCCCAAGCGACATGTTAACCCTTTCAGTACTTCAATCCTCCCTTGAGTGAGAGAAAGGAACAAGATACAAGCATGTAAAAGAACAACATAAAAACATCAAGATCAGTAATGAAGAAGTCAAGTCCCAGATGGGAGGGATGAGGAGATGCCTTAGTCTTGAGACTAAAATTCTCTTGTAAACTATGGAAAAAAGACTCTTTTTCCCTACAACACATAAAACTACAGGGAGATGAAGAGTTCAAATTAATATCAAGCAAAGCCCTCCATGTTAAAGTAAGCAAATGTTAAAGTAACTGTGATCCCATGAGAAGTTTAAACAGAGAAAATGAGAAGAATACCATCTCCTGTGCCCCCAGGAGAAGAAGAAAATCTCTATTCCCAGCAATGAAGATGATTTTAAAGATAGATAATGAGAACTTTTACCTTTGAACAGCTCATCTTTAAAACAATACCCCATAAGTTAACATGGCCCATTGACAAGCTCTAAGAAAGCTTATAGAAAATTGGAGGGGTTTCATGATAACAATTTCCCCCTGGCAATTGCTAGTTGTGAAAAAACTACGAGAAAACTTTTTTTCCTCTTGTAGAGAAGTCTCCATAACCTTAACAAGAGGGACTTCTCTCCCTAAGTAAACTGAAGAAAAACTATTTCAGAGGTGACAAACTGACTGGAAATTTTAGGTTTTGTTTCTTTATATTGTCAGTGGAAAAAAAAAAGGTTGTGGGGGGAGAATAAGTGTTCTCAAGAGTTTGTTTTAATTCTTACTACTTTTTTCCCTCTTAATTGAGATGAGGGACTACATTTTGTTCGTCACGAAAAAGAGACCAGTGTGTTACAAGAGTTGTCTGCTGACTATTTCTGTACTACTTCATGAGATATGAGCCACAAGGATACCAGGGAAGGGGTTGCAGGAGCCCACACATAGTCCCACCCAGCAAATGGTACAAAAAGATAACTCACAGAAATAACGACCAGGGAAAGGCTGGGGAAAGGGCAGGGGCAGATAAACACCCAGCAGGGAAACCTTTCCCGCTGACAAATGGTACAAGCAGATAACTCACAGAAATAACGACCAGGGAAAAGCTGGGGAAGGGGCAGGGGCAGATAAACAGTCTGCAAGGCAGGATATTTGCTTGCTTAAGCTTGATAGGGCACAGTTTGCAAGGCAGGACATTTGCTTGCTTAAGCTTGATAGGGCACATATTGCGTTAATCATAAGATTTTGGTAATTTTCCACAGAGAAGTCACCAAATAAGGACATAGGGTGAAGAAGACGCAGCTGAGGAAGACTCCGCAGCCTTTATCACCGATCACCAGGAGACAGAAGGATGACCCCCTAGCAACAACCAGCGCAGGCGCAGAGTACTCCGAGATAACATGGACTCCTGAAGGATAGAGAGGATGAAAGGACTGAATCAGAAACTAGTTGGCGCGGCAGTAGGTGGAGCGGAGACTCCCCTGTCGCCCAGCGCTGAGCCTTTGCTTACGTAGTATAACTGCTTCAATAATTAATAAATTCTTTGATTGGAAATTACTCATTTTGAGTCAATTTTATAACAATTTGGTGCCGTGACTCGGATGAGAGTTTGGATCGGGTAAGATCTACCCAGAGTGGGGGGCGCCTCATCCAGTGCTTTCCGGGTGGCCCCTCTGGGAGAACCTCCGCCACTCTCACCGACGACCCTAAAATATATACTAGTAAGCAAACAGGACAAATTATACCGGTGAACCCCTTAATAATCTGTGCACGGAGTCCGGACGAAGATGCAGGACGTGTAAGTATAAAAGGGAATCCGTTCGGGCGGGGTTGGGATCCCGGAGTGTGGCGGTGGACAAGTGTGAATGAGAGGAGGGCCGGCAGCCGGACTCTCCAAGTGAGTGCGGACCCTTGAGTAGTGCGGTTCCCGTAGACCCGCGAGGGCTCGGGCCACGAAAAAGGGGAAGTGAAAGGAATTTGAGAGTGAAAGAAGGCACTCCGGACGAATGGGGCAGGGGAAAAGCAAGACCCCAACCCAAGTCAAACTCCCCCCCATTCCAAGGGACAGTCCCCTAGGATTCATGCTTAGTAATTGGAAGCATTACCCGGGGACCGAGACTAAGGATAGGGCCAGAATGATACATTATTGCATGGAAGTATGGGGTGGGAAAGAGATTTCCAAAAAAGTTTTTTGGCCCGTGTTTGGATCATCTGAAGACTGGGTTCGACAGGACTTGAACCTATGGGTAAATTCTAAAGAGCCCTTCTCTCAAGAGGAGAGTGATTATGCCAAAATATGGGTAGCAAGACCCGAAGTGTATGTTTTCCAATTAAGAGAAGGGAAAGGGGATCCGGACAAAAAGGGGAAGAGGGACAATCATTTGGGCGACTTAATTATAGCACCGCCCCCATATGTCCCACCGCCAGCACCCAATGCCCCACCACCTCCACAACCACCTGCACCGAACAATGATGAGGAGGGTAACCAAGGGGAGGTTAACCAAACCGGTTACCAAGGCCCGATTACAAGGAGCCGCAGTAGGGTTGAGACGGGGCTATTCCCTCTACGGGAGATGCCCATGGGTGGACCACAGGCGGGTATAGGATTTATTACTGTCCCCTTGAGTTCGGCAGATGTACGAGACTTTAAAAAGGACATGGGACATTTATTAGAGGACCCTTTTGGGGTAGCCGAGAGGGTCGACCAGTTCTTAGGACCAAACATCTATACCTGGGAAGAAATGCA